GCACCGTAAGCACCCTTGTCGGCACCGTAGCCGCCGTTGTCAAAGTAATCGTTGTTCGATTCATACGCATTGTCAGCGTCGTAGCCGCTCGAGGCGCCGTCGTTCGCAGCGTCGGTCGTGCGACGGTTCCAGCCCGCGTACTCGTCGTTGGCTTTGGGGACGTGGTACGGCCCGTCGCCGTTCTTGGAGGAAATCTTCTTGGTCCCAAAGACTTTGACCTTGGCGGCAAACGACGTCGCGTTGGTGTACGAGCCGCCAACCGGGCTCTTCAGCGTCATCGTGAGCGCTACGGTGGTCTTGCCCGGCAATGAAATCGTTTCGCTGTCGCTGTCGCCGGCGTTGCAGTTGGCTTGGACGATCACCGAGGACACGGCGTTCTTGGATCCCCACGAGCACGTGCCGGTCGAGATAGTCGACGTCGCCGACGCAGCGAGGGCGAGGAGAAGCGAGATGCGCGTGAACATGGTGTAAGCTTGTGGGAGCAAGAGCAGATGTGAGGAGGTGGTAGGCGCCAACAATACTTGGTTAGCGCGTTCTATATAGATGCGACAGCACGTGTGACTGGACTGTCTCGAGTCGCTGTGCGCGACTAGAAATGCATGACTGGTTGTGGTTGACAGTCCACTACATCGCTCTGATTTCTATGAAACCTAGCCCTACCCTAGCCCCGCGCCGAGAGCCGAATAGCGGGGAGCCAACTTTTGTCGCAACAAACCTAATGCGATAACTAAAGCAGGAAATGCGGCTGGGTACGGTGAACAACCTCTCACGCATGGAAATGGCAAAATTGCCCGTCAGCATGGAACATCTCGGATGTCTTATTCTTGGACTCGAGGCAATATTTATAAGAGGCAAACGACCGGCACGATACTTGTACTAGTAGTGTGTTTTCGCTGTGGCGGTGCGTCAAGAACAAAGGAATAACTCCCTTGGTCGAGCAGAACGAAGCGATCATGCTCCACAACTCTAGTCGCTACCACCTACTTGCTCGAATCAACGAGATACGAAAATATACAGACATAATTGTACTTGTTTTGTACTTGAGAGCAACCAAGCTGCTCGATCTGAGTAATCCATGGGATTAAGGGTCGTCGCATCGAACGGTCGTCGAACACAACACAGCCGTGTGGCTCGCGTCGCGAAAGAGTGCCAATTCGAGAAGTCTAGGACGCTGGGCGACGCTGAAGCTCTTTTGCTGCGTCATCTCGGTCGTGTATGGAACCTCGAACGCAAAGACGTCGAGGAGTCGATCGCTGTGTGTAAAGTACGGAGCGTCCTTGCGATTTCGCCCAAACGTTCGCAGCCGCGCGTCAAATGTGGTCGCGAACCGCGCGTCGCGTTGGCCCCAAAACTTCAAGCGTACGAGCAGCGTCGACTGCCCCGGAATCACGATCGTCTCGCCAACGCTGTCTGCCAAGCATGACGCCTGGACGTAGAGCAAGGCCGCGTTCGCCCCCCACGAGCACACGCCGGAGGTTGCGCGCACCGCTGCCAGTGCACACAAGACCACGAGAAGGAACAGCCTTGCTACTATCATCTCGGAAGCTGGCTCCGAGACAGCAAGGTGCCAAGTGGAATTCACGTGGAGAAGG